AGAAACTCTTCATAAATAAAACTAGAAGCCAGAATGTTAATCTTCAAAAATGTGAAGCCTATTAAAATACTGAGATTGTAACTTTATTAGATATTCCTTGTGTAACCACTTCATACCCAGCGTTTACTAGGTTTACTGTACCTCATATGCTGTTGGTTATGTTCATTGTCACAGACATTAAAGGAGAAATATAACACGCCCATTTCATATTTTGAATGGCTCATACTTCTCTAATATACAGAGAATTATTAAACACACACTGATACCTCACTGTTTGTATCAACATAAATTCATTATATATATATATGTTTTCCATTTTCATTTGGCTGTAACCATAGCAACTGGTGTATGAGGAATCACTAGGAGACAACAACTTTCTCTCAATGTAAATTAATTCAAAAAATAGTGGGAAATACACCATAAATAATATATTTTTTCATGGTTTTGGCATGCTGCATTTTTCTGTAGCTCTACAATCTTCACTGTTTCCTTGCATTCTCCACGCCTTCATTCAAAATCACGAGCAACAAAAATAGATATTGTTGATGATATTATTTGTTTCTTGCTCTTTCTTTTAAATTGATTATCGAGATGAATCTCCTTGTATACATATAAAACCATATAAGATTATAAGGTTCTGTTTTTAAGATGCTAAAACTGTAGATCTTAATTTTAGATCTTCAATATTATAATTTTTTTAGTTAGTTGTCTATAGTGTAAAGCACGTATATGTGTGTCCACGTAATGTCTTATATTAATATATTTCTACTTTATAGTGGCTATTCGATAAGCATTCAAAAACGGAAAAAGTCTGTTGCCATGACAATAACTCGTGTCCTTGATGACAATACTGAATTTAATAAAACAAAACAACATAAAAGAATGAAAATTGTTAGTTTGTGCATTTCTTTCATGTTTGAAAGTAGTTTTCACTAGATGCTGAAGCAGACTGAGAAGCAACTGGATGTTACTTCTTATCTAGAACAATTACAGATATGGTATATATTTATCTATTAATCACCCAAAACAAAATATCTTTGGCAATCATGCAAAACAGAAATATCATTTACCACATTTCAAACTTCACAGTAATAATTTTAGGGAAAAAATGAGAAAAACAATTAAAATAAATACAAAAAAATTCTCTCACACAGTACAAAATCATGTTATGACAATAAACTCTCTTTAGTTAAAAAGTAGGGTCAGTAAGTTCATAGGTTAAACTATGTAACATTGTGATTCAGCCCTGCAGTAACTCAAAGCCTTTACGGCCTTTCAATAGGTGGTATGTTGTAACAGCCATTAGGAATGCTTTTACGGATCTCCTCTAAGTTGGCAATGTCAGCCAGGATGGTGTCAATGTCATTGATCATGCCTGCAATGGTGGCTCTCTGCTGGGCTTCCTTCTCCTCCAGCTCCCTGAGTCTGGGCCTCAGCTCCTTCTCCACGCGACTGCGGCTTTTAGTGACGGCGTGCTCTAGCTCGGCCAGTCGTGTGTCGTCAACTGTCCCGGGAGTTCCTGGAAACCAGTATTACAGTCATGGTGAATCCTTGCTCAGCGCCGGGATAAAAATTTG